CAAAATAAGATTAACGTGCTACACTGTACAACAAAATAAGATTAACGTGCTACAATGTACAACAAAATAAGATTAACGTGATACACTGTACAACAAAGTAAGATTAACGTGCTACAATGTACAACAAAATAAGATTAACGTGATACACTGTACAACAAAGTAAGATTAACGTGATACACTCTACAACAAAATAAGATTAACGTGATACACTCTACAACAAAATAAGATTAACGTGCTACACTGTACAACAAAATAAGATTAACGTGATACACTGTACAACAAAATAAGATTAACGTGCTACACTGTACAACAATGTAAGATTAACGTGCTACACTGTACAACAATGTAAGATTAACGTGATACACTGTACAACAAAGTAAGATTAACGTGCTACAATGTACAACAATGTAAGATTAACGTGATACACTGTACAACAATGTAAGATTAACGTGATACACTGTACAACAATGTAAGATTAACGTGCTACATTGTACAACAATGTAAGATTAACGTGCTACACTGTACAACAATGTAAGATTAACGTGCTACACTGTACAACAAAGTCAGATTAACGTGCTACACTGTACAACAAAATAAGATTAACGTGCTACACTGTACAACAATGTAAGATTAACGTGCTACACTGTACAACAAAATAAGATTAACGTGATACACTGTACAACAATGTAAGATTAACGTGCTACACTGTACAACAAAGTAAGATTAACGTGCTACACTGTACAACAAAGTAAGATTAACGTGCTACACTGTACAACAAAGTAAGATTAACGTGCTACACTGTACAACAAAGTAAGATTAACGTGCTACAATGTACAACAATGTAAGATTAACGTGCTACACTGTACAACAATGTAAGATTAACGTGCTACAATGTACAACAATGTAAGATTAACGTGCTACATTGTACAACAATGTAAGATTAACGTGCTACATTGTACAACAAAATAAGATTAACGTTCTACACTGTACAACAATGTAAGATTAACGTGATACACTGTACAACAAAGTAAGATTAACGTGCTACAATGTACAACAAAATAAGATTAACATACTACACTGTACAACAATGTAAGATGTAGCATTAACATACTGCAATGAACAGCAAGGAACGTTATTATACAACACTGCGGAATTTACCTGTAACATTGTAGCATTAATACATAACACTGTCGAGTTTATATATAACACTGTAGCATTAATATATAACAATATAGTGTTTACATATAACATTGTATCATTAATATATAGTACTGTCGTGTTTAACTATAACATTGTAGCATTAACATATAACACTGTAGTGTTTACATATAACATCGTAGTATTAACATATAAAACTGTAGTGTTTACATATAACACTGTTTTATTAATATATAACACTGTAGTGTTTACCTATAACATTGTAGGATTAATATATTACGCAACATTGTTTACAAATAAAATTGTAGAATTAATAATAATCAAAGTACTAAAAGTACTAAGAGGCTAAACGTATTGAAAAATGTTCACAAATAACCGCTAAGATATATTACTTTCCCCATACTCCTACACTTTGGAATGCAAAAATTACTTAAATAAGAGAACCAGAGGCTATTTTTCTTAATTTTAAGCGATTTTATATCTTCTTTAATTCTTATTTCAAATTCGACGACAATAATGTGAATAAATAAAAATAGGTAAAAAAGAATAACAAAATACACACAGCCATATATTTATCGCTAACAAGCCAAATGACAAATAGCTCTATGATGAAGTTAACTGAAATAAAACCTTTGAAATACCCAAGATGTTGCAATTACTTTCCTATCAATATGAGGATTTAAACAAATCGAAAGGACTTTATACCTACTTCTTTATTTTGAATGTATTGCAAAGTAATAGTCCTTACTTATTATAATCATATTTGTAGTTGAGGAAAGTAGATAAGGTATACACAGCATTTCAGATAGATAAAAGTGTAAGTAATTACATTAAATGTATTTACATGCCTATCTTCCTTGAAGTATCATGGTTAGACTTTTCTTCCAGTAATTACGTCTATGAAGGCATAGTTCTACGAAATTAAACCAGACTTCAATATATATACAAAATTTACAATATTTTAACTATAGCTACTATTATTTCTAATCTCCAATGCATTAGATAATGTCACCATGACACGCTAAATGAATAAATGTGTTATGGAAAAATTTCGTTTTAGTTAATTGATGATTATAAACATGAATATTTTGGGTTTTTTTTATACGCGCTTTGTTTGAAGGAATATTTTCATTTCAAGGAACTTTGATACACATTAACAAACATTGAGAAATCAGCACAATCAACCTTCATCAAATAAAACTAAAAGACAAAAAATATAGGTTATAACAAAGTCAACATCATGATCAGTACAGTATTAAAAATATATCAGTCATAAATCATGAGCACCAAATGTACCTTGCCTACTTGAAAAAGTGTCATGGCGGTGGATGTGAAAATCCTGAAAAAGTGTCATATCGGCGAGTGTGCGCGTAGGACGAACAGTCCAATTTTGTGACGTCTAATGAGGTAAAGTGATGTTATATATTAAGACGACCTTACCACTACGACAAGGATTAAAGCAAAACTGATGTTTTGTTTGTAAGTTTTGTTTGTTTATAAGTGCTGTTAGTTGATAATTCAAACCAAGCCCCCCAGACTAGCTTCTTATCATGGCGCCAACTCACACGTACAGTGTTCTGTACGCTTACGTCATGTCGAGAATTCCGTAAAATATATTGTTCAAAATTTATCAATAGTTCAACCACACTGTGCTTCTTTTTTGAAATATATAGTAATCGTATTGTTATTAAAAAAATAAACTAATTTTGGATGCATTATTTACGCAGAAAATTGCCGCTAGAGGGCTCTAACTCTTTTCGATATTTCAGCCAATGAGAAGGCCAGGATCGGTAAATTTTGTCTGAAAGGCCGTCGCAATAGGCTATGCGTACTGAGTACGTTTAGCCTAAAAATGATTGGTTTCTTAACGTACATCACTAAGTTTTACCTACATCACTAAGATGTTCCTACATCACTAAGATTTACCTACATCACTAAGATTTGTCAACTTCACTAAGATTTACCTACATCACTAAGATTTACTTACATCACTAAGATGTTCCTACATCACTAAGATTTACCTACATCACTAAGATTTGTCAACTTCACTAGGATTTACCTACATCACTAAGATTTACCTACATCACTAAGATGTTCCTCCATCACTAATATTTACCTACATCACTAAGATTTGTCAACTTCACTAGGATTTACCTACATTACTAAGATTTACCTACATCACTAAGATGTTCCTACATCACTAAGATTTACCTACATCACTAAGATTTACTTACTAATATTTACGTACATCACTAAGATTTGTCAACTTCACTAGGATTTACCTACATCACTAAGATGTTCCTACATCACTAAGATTTACCTACATCACTAAGATTTACTTACAACACGTACACCAATAGTATTGTGTTATTTTGTTAAACATTGAAATATGTTAAAATTTTTCTTTCTGCCAACAAATTGTTTGTGCCCAATATCATATTTCTACATAATCATACCAGGAAGTGGAGATACTGTATTCAATAACATGTTTTGAACTCTTTCTACTTAACCAGCTTCTATGTCACGCACATCTGCACACATTTGATATAGCGCATATTGGAATGATGTCAGCTACTTACAACTAGATTACATTTAACCAATGAGGTGATAATTTATTTCAAAATTCATGTCTATACAAGAAGTCAGAAATAAATACGATCACGAAAGTTTAAATATATGTGCACTGTGTTTTAACAAGCACGTAACATGGCAGGCCTGGTCTCTAGTTTTCAAATCCTTACATTGTATACAGGTAAGTTGTGATTTATATTTCTCACCTTTTATCATATATATGTACAAATCACCATCAGATACTTATATCTATATATAAACAGGTATTCATTAATATGTAGATATATCCATCACCACGACTTAACACATACATTATGTACAAGCTCGCCATGATTTTCATCAACACAGTCATTCTTGGTTTTATTTACACACAAATAAATGAGATCACACGAATAAAAAACGCCAAAATGAACTGGGTGGACAAAAAGTAGATACGAAGCTTTGGATCAAGCCTGGTGGATCTTGACCAGGAAGAAAGTTGAAGAAGAGAGGTAGAAACAGATGAATAAATAAATAGTTGCTGTGGGAAAAATTATCAATTCATCAAAACAGTTCAGAATACTTTAGAAGACAAATAGCACTGTTCATTTCAGTTTCTCAACAATACCACAACATTTCAGTTCAATGCCATCAGTGGAGCTGGAAAAGAGGCTTCAAATGTGTTTTTAAAGATGGCGACCATTTTGGATTTTGGTCCGACCTAATATAAGATAACAGCACTTGGCCAGGACCATCTCGTGAGATTATTATTTTAAACAGGTTTCAGCTCAATCTCGAACCTGAGAATAGATGTCCGAGAAACCATGATTGCGCAATCATGTTACAATGGTTGTCATATTGCACAACGCTAACTTGATATAACACAAGGAAACAAAAGAGGTCTATAGGGCCTGCAGCGCTCACATGGGACATAATCCTGCCAGTTTTTTAAAAAAGTATTTTTCTTCTTTTCCCCATAATGGGCCTCTTCTCTTCCATCTAAAAACTTTTTTACTATCACCCGAGGACGTTTCATACTTAATTGGGACAGAAACCTGACATTACTACAGAGGAAGAAGGACTTTACAGAATTTGCTCTGTTTCCCCTATTGGGCCCCTCCTTTCCTACCCCGACTCACTGTTTATACGAAATTGAGTTTTATTCACCGTAAATCTGGGCAAAATCCAATCCTTCTTACAGAAGAAGAGGGATTTTGAAAAATTTGCTAAATTTCCCATTTCTGGCCCCACTTTTCAGGCCCCGGGGGGCCAGACTCACCATTTATGCAAAAATGAATCCTGTTCCACGAAAAATGTTCCCCATGGACTTCAGCAAACTGCATCTCCAGAAACTCCAAGTATGCTTTAAGAGAATATGTAGCTATAGACGTATTTCAAGGAAATCGTAATACTGGGGAAAAATCATGGATATCGAAACCTGACATATGATGATCACTCTGCTATAGGTTTGGTGGTTCGTTATTATATTGTTTTATGTCCTTTCGACATCCAAGGATGTCCTCCCGATGTAAACGAAGCGAGTGCATCTTTTGAGTGCATGGTATTTTGGATAGTGTGGGATTGATACCGACTATATAGTGCTGTCGCACTGAAATACACTGTCGAAGCGACCCGACAAGATATCCCATTCGGCCACATCATAACAGACAACCAGTCATTACACTACCACAACGCTAACCATTAAGCAGGGAGTACTAACCACCGTTTTCAAACACTTGTATGTATCGGTCACATAGACGAACACACAACAAAGACCAAAGACGAGGTCCTGTCCAGGGAGACATTACTGAAGATTTAGTCGGCACAAGATCGCCAGAGAATGCGGACAAAATTGACAAGAAAAATCGAATCAAGATAAATTAGCACTATGCACGTTTCATGTTTAATGAATGAAGTCAAAACACTGAAAAGAGATCGTACTTATATTTAATCAAAATACACGTGACTGAAAAAATGACTTGTTTAGAATAAAGTATGAATGAAACTAACCAATGTATTCACTGTGAGCCACCATTTAGAACAGAACCAGAAATGATAATAACATAATCATATCAAAAGAGGGACTTCGTGTCGAACTCTTGGGCATCATCCAAATCAGAAAAAAAATCTTTATTGCCCGTGCCACTTTGATTTGAAAGATTTCACTATACCACTAGTTTACGATGATCGACAAAAACTAAACAAAACTTTTCTGTTACAGGTTGGACACTAGCTGGCGGGTGTTATTATGTTTATTCATACTATTACGGCTTTCGGCTCCGGTATTCCTATGCCTACATGTACTGTCCTGGGGCATGCTGCGGGTACTACTATTCTAGGTCCTGTTGTACCAGGTTTGTCATCTCCATTGACTTTTTAACAAATTTGGCAGCCCTTCATCCCAGTGTGCTGCTGACTTAACAAAAATACTAGTCAAATGATCGTTTTAACCTTGATTGAAACTTGTCTTAAGGTATAAACACATTTCATCACTGTGACCTTGAAAGTGTGTCAATGACATTGATTTGAACGAATTTGTATCCTTTATCCCAACATACCGCAAGCTCAATATCAACACCATGGGTCGTTTGGTAATTGAAAAATCGTTTAAAATCTAAGATATATGACTTCTGTGACCTTGGAAGTAGGTAAATATCATTCATTTGAACAAAGTTGGTAGTCCAGCATGCTGCAGTATCAGTACTCTGACTGTTTGGGCTATTGAGAAATCATTTGGAGACATTAAATTATTTGATCCCTGTAACCTTGAGCGCGAACCAAGGTCAGCAATTTGAACAAATATTCCAGCGCCTTATCCGACCATGTTATAGACCCACTATCAGTTCCCTGTGTAATTTCCTTAAGAAGTTATTCGAACATTTTGATAAATGTGACTTTAAAGTAGGTAAACAAAGTTGGCAGCTCCCAGCATACCATAAGCTCGATATCAGTAGTGTGGGCCTTTCTTCTATCGAGAAGTAATTGAGAGATATTAAAATATTTGATCTCTGTGACTTTGAACGTGTGTCAAGGTCAGTTATCTGAACAAAATTTTTAACACTCCATTCCAACAGCTTACATACCTAATTTCAATATCCAATAGCTATTGGCTAAAGATAAATCGTTTGAAAAAATTAACATATTTGATCTTTGTTTAGACTGGGATATATTGCTCAATATCTTATCTAAATCATCTGAGATCACATAAGGTCTCCCCCGTGTGCGAGGGTGCATAAGTACAATTCTTTTGCCTAGTCTATAGGATAGCATTTCATCCTTGTGACCTTGAATGTGGGCCAAAGTTATTCGTTTCAACAAATGTTTCAGCGCATCATTCCAGCATGTTACAGTATCAGTTCCCTTATTTAGAAGTTATTCGAACATTTGTTCAAATTTGATCTTGTGATCTTGAGAGTAGGTTAAGGTCATTCGTTGGAACAAACTTGGCAGCACTATATCCAAACATGTCACTGATCCGACCTGGGTCGTACGGTTATTGAGCAGGCGCTTGAAGATTTTAACATTTCTGGCACATGTGACCTTACAAGTATGTCAAGGTCATTAACAACAATGTATCCCTCTATTCCAGCATGCAACGGGCTACATTGTTGTTGGCCAAATATCAGTATTTGTTTTCCAGTTATGTAGAAGCTTTTTAAAGGATGGCCGCGACATAAGCTCACGTGCCCGATAGGTGAGCTAATATGGCAACTATTAACGTGTGATTTGCTTGTTGTGCAATGTGACCTAGTGTGGTGACATGCTGGGAGTCTTTGGTTATATATACTCAACAAAAAAAGAAAGGTTAACATGTTTCCTTGGCGAATACTTGTAAATAAGTGAAAACAAAATGACGTTTGTGCAATATTAGAAAATGGTAATGTTTTACATTACAAAATCCAAGGGAGTTACCAAAATCATTCAAGCGTGAGAATCTGTATTAGCGAAAGAGCTGCACGAGGTTTTCTGCGACTAAATTGCATCTTCGCCTGAATTTCATAAACATTCAAACTGACAACTGTTCCTTAGATCCTTAGGACATAGAAATCACCAAATCTTGCTATCTATCATCTTTATCATTATGCCCCGGCTGTCACAAGTACAGAGAGAAAGGGCTGTAGGTATGATCCAGGCTGGGCAGTCTCGTCGTCGACTTGCACGGCATTTTGGTTGCAGTGTTAAGACAATTTGCCAGTTGGTAAGTCGTTTAAACCAAACTGGGTCAACATCCGATCGTCCCCGAAGCGGCAGACCCCGTAAAACGTCCGCCAGGGATGACCGTCGTATACGATTGATACACTTACGCAATCGATTCGTAACCGCAGTAGAGACTACAAGGACATTGTTTGGGTGTCGTGTGTCTCCCCAAACAGTCCGCAACAGGTTGAGGGCCTACCAATTGAAAGCGCGGCGTCCCTACACTGGACCCAATTTGTTGCGACGTCACCGTAATAATCGGCGTAACTTGACCCATGTTCACCGTCGTTGGACCTTACGACAATGGAACAATGTTCTGTTTTCAGATGAGTCCAGGTTTTGTCTGCAACACGGTGACGGAAGGCGCAGAGTGTGGAGGTGACGAGGGGAGCGTTTTGCGAACTGCTGCGTCGCAGAACGGGACCGCTTTGGCGGCGGAAGTGTAATGGTTTGGGGTGGTATTTGTGAGGGGACTCGTACCAGGCTTGTTGTGTTAAATGGCAATTTAACCAGTAATTTGATATCGGGACGAAATTTTAAGACCAGTGGTTCTGCCATTCTTAAGACGCCATGGCGTTGGCGCCATTTTTCAACAGGAAGCGCACTAGCGCACACCAGTCGCGTCAGCAGAACTTTCTTGCAGCAGAATAACGTACAGGTGTTATATTGGCCATCTAAATCACCTGATTTGTCACCGATTGAGCATGTCTGGGACGTTCGTGGGCGACGCGTGAGAGAACGTCAAAATCAGCCGTCAAACTTGCAGGAGCTGGCCCAAGCCTTGATCGCTGAATGGAACAACATCTCTCCTCGAATTATCCGACGGTTTACGAGTTCCATGCGACGACGCTGCAATGCTGTTTACTTAGCAAACGGTGGCCATATCCATTACTAATGGTGTTGCCTTTGAAATTGACCCCAACGTCCTTTACAGTCGAATAAAATCAACTGAACGCAAAGTTTTATAATGAACCATGACTGCAGTTTCATCAGAATTGATCAATTACTTTATTCGTACATGACTGGTAAGGATTTATGAAAGGGTTAATTAATTAATCACAGAATAAAGTAGTGTTACCTTTCTTATTTTGTTTAGTATATATCACATTATAAGACAACTGTTACAAACATTACTTTTAGTCGGCAACGCACCAATGTCCTCTTGATATATCTAGTTAGAGTAGTATAAAAATCCTATCACAGTTTCTATACACGAATCTCAACTTTCTTACTGTCATATTGTCGATACTTTTACAAACACCACAGAAGATTTATGTGTCCAGAATCCTAACACATCCTGGACGAATATTGTCCTTCAGACTGCCTGTAACATTGTTTGTAACGTAAAGTGTATGAAATCACAAGAGTGTTTTCGTGCCATACAGTGGTAGTGTTCATTTATTTGAGAGCATCTCAAATATACAGTGTAAATATATATCATTCGAGTTAGCAACAATGTCATGTACGTATTACAGATGTGGTCCTGGAATAAAATCAGGCATATATACATTAACTAATAATCTTCATGATTTATGTAGTGGCGGTACTATTGCCGGGGCAATCATCGGATGCATTCTCTTCGCCGCTCTGATCATCGTCATAATCTTCATGATAAAGAGATGTAACAGAACACAAACTGGTGTTGTCGTCGCCAATCCTCGTAACAACGTCACTAATGGTAAGTATTGCTGACATGATTTAGGTAGACTGTTTTATATTCTATCAAAACATTCAGTCAGTCTTGTTGACAGCTGCTAGCATGGGATCGAATTTTGACGATTCTAATGTAGGATTTCGTTGAAGAGTCATAAGGCTGGCATATCCCTCCCGGGTCTGTAATATCGGGTAAGATATGTTTCCATTTGTATCGTGACTAGATGTTGGACGACTATAAAGCATTAAAGATTTACAACTATCAACTTTGTCAATATTGCGAAACAAGCAATCAGTTTATAGGAACCACTTTTTTGCCAGGTGTGTTCGACGTTTCATTTCAGTCTGTGTTTCTCAGGAAGCTGGGAAATGGACAGGTATATGACGTCGTTGTTGTGTCATTGACACTTTACTCATATTGCCACGGATGACATGTGACGGGCCTCCAGCATGTTGTTCAATTAGGCGCTCACAGTCTGCAACTAGAGCACACCGCCTCAAAATGTACCTGGCTGTTCTCGGAGTGATAAAACCTGCAAACTCAAACCGTTTCACGTCTGGTTGAATAAGAAGTCAGTTATCATTGCACCACTCGATCACCAAAACCATGTGTATATTACAATATAGTGAGCACGGAAAAAGTCGAGTACACAACAACACATATTTGCATTTACCTTCTGTTAAATCCTCGAAACAGATAAGATTATACCAAAACAATTAATGATGAGGTCTCACCAACACTTTGGTACCAAGTTTCTACAACGAGATTAGTAGGTGATAGATCGATGTGATAGCAAAGCTTAAATCGAATAAGATAACACAAAAGTTTCCAATAATCGATAATTATTGAATTTGTTTCAGTGACAACGAATTCACATTTACAAGCATATCCACCACCGGCACACGTTGATGCTTATCCACCGCCAGTACCTGGATCATACCTCGGAGGCTGTAACCCTCCTCCTCAGCAAGCAACAGGAACCAATTACCCCGGTGGTAGCTATCCTCCTCCTCCTCAGCAAGTAACAGGAACCAGTTACCCTGGAGGAAGTTTTCCCCCGCCGCCTCCTTACGAACAAGTCAATCCTGCCTATCCGACCTCTCCTAAATATTAAACAAAGCGACGCAGGACGTGGAATACGAGAACACGAACATTGATGTGTTATTTTTTATGCATTATACCTGTTGTGTACCTGTCACTCTTCTTCGACGCCAAGGACAACAACATGACAGCGAACTCTGACGTAGTGTGTACTATGATCTCTCTGTGAACCTGTTGCGTAGTATAAATTACTAGGATAAATCTTCAGTACCATCTAGTGCCATTGCCTATTTAAATGACTTTTAGATGCATTCAACGTGAGGGCTTCACGGACAAAACTGGAAGTGAGCTCCACAAATCTACCACTCGCTTACCAAATGTATCCTGTGTGATTGTGGCCCTGTTTTGTAGATATTTTTGCTATTGCCTCTAGTGGTTGTTTGTGATGTTGTAAAGAGCCTGTCCTTATAGATCTTGTCTCTATTATTCAGAATTTTGTAAACTTTTATTTCTGTACTTTAGGGTGGGAAAGCCATTGTTTTTCTAATTTATCATGGTAGAGAAGGACTTTATAGATTGTACTCGTGTTGTGGTTCTACATTGGAGATTTTCTATTGCTATCTGGCCTTGTGGATGAGACCACACCTGAGTAACATATTCTAGTTTGGGTCTAATTTAACTTTTTAATAAAACATTTGTATATCTATGGATATTAAGGAGATGAGAATCAGACCCAGAATGCTATTTTCTTTGTAGATTTACTCACTTACATAATGACTAAAGCTGTTGGTGCATTATCAGAAATTATCTAGAATTTTCCCCAGTTTATTTTTGTCTGTTCATTATATGGAACATGAGTTTTGAATTTTGCGCTAAATTACCGATGTTTAGGTGTTTACATTTTTAGTGGTCATCTTGCAGTCAGTTGTCCATTGGATAATGTTGTTGATATCTGTAGCACTTGTGAGGCTTATAATCTGCCACTATTTCTGAATCATCAGCAAAACATTTCAATATGTTATGATGTACCACGTCAGGCAGGACCTGGATGTAAATTAAAAACAAAACAAGACCTAAGACACTTCCCAGGGACATCCCACTCGTTACTTCAGCTAGACTGGCCACCTCACCATCAATGACCACACATTTTTAGTTCAATGGGATTTCCTTATTTTATTTACAGCAGTATTTCTGGACAATTTTCATCTATTTAAGTTATCATCGGTTTCACAGTCTGCAGGTGTAGAAGTGTATATGATTACTCTCATGTGAATAAAGCTTATCTTTTGTTTTGATTTGAGAAAGTTTAATGAACTTTGATAGACATGAGCATTAAAATTAGGCAAATTACACCCCCATCGAATGTGGAATGGTATGCTAAGAGTGCTTAAGTGACGAATTTGCATGGAACACAAACTGTTTGGCAGACCCACCGTACTAAGGTATCAATTTGTTTTGCGATTTTTGTAAAACATTTTTTTTTATAGAATTTAGAGCCGGTGCTAGTATTGTACATAAATCTGCTTGGTATACCCCAGTCAGTTGTGCCGTTCTACTTTTACATACGATCATAGATCCAAAGAGGTAATATCATTTGCGTCGATGACTCCTCACCGACTCCAGTATCCTGATGTGATGTAAAAGTTGGACATGTATGATGCTCGTTAGTATGTGTATGCGTGTCCCTGAAGTTGTTATTTACATTTATCACATGTGATATATACGTCTCTGGATAGGTCAAAGGTCAAATTGTAAGTCAAAGTTCTGATTATACATAACGCATCCCGCCACTGACCCATTCGATAAGGACAAAGTTCCAATGGCTAGGACCATAGAAGTCACGACCTCACCGTATGCAAATTACTTTTGCTCTCTCTACACCTCTGGAACATTTCATGGCAAAATTGAAGGTTTCTATCCGCGACACCTTGGGGACAAGACGAACAGACTAGTTTGATCCTTTGATGTACATCAAACGAATCTCAAGGTCGCATAACGATATACTGCAGTGGCTTTGAAATTAGGTGTCGCGCCTTTGTAGACGTCACAAGGAGTGTATTGGCCTGTGATTGGTTAGTTTCTGCTCTTTGAACCAATCAACTTACTTCGCTTGTACCTTCAATTTCGCCATGACATGTTACAGGAGTGCAGAGAGCGAAAGTGATTGTAATCCCTGGAGTATCGAGGATGGAAAATTGAGTGCATGTGATGACTGTGTGCGTTAATGGGAGGGTACAATAGGTTTGTGAAAGTCAATTTGTGAAAATGCAGAACTGAATCCGACATTTTAGTTCTACCAGCCTCCCACAGTGCAGTATGTCGTCGAAGGCCCCTAGTATAGACATCCAGTTTACATTATACTGACTAAGGGCCAACCAGTCATTACAGTACCATAATGCTAAAGGGTAGTAACTTCCATTTCTATCGACAGTGGCTTTAGAGCTTTATTAAAGGAATTTAAATGAAATTACCTTTCTAGCTGTACAATTTGTTTAAGTTTTTAAATGATTCATTGCCGACAATAAAAACATCCATTTAATGTTTATATATGAAATCTTTACGCTATGACTGGTCATGCGTGTCACTTCGTAAACAAAACATTGTTAATCACGAGAGTATATATAGTACTACCCACTATACCTGATAGATCTACGTGAGTCTGACCTATAAATGTAAAGCTTAATCAGGAAATATACTTAGTTCTACTCTTATCTATTTGGAAAATAAAGAAATGTTATCCCAAATTTATTTGTAAGTCGTTCCTAAATTTATATGAACGAAGATGGAACCGCACACCGTGCGTACAAATGTCGGGTAGCAATATTTATTTAGTTTTCCTATCATGTACACATCGTGCGCACATCACTTAACGCTGTGCAATCTCACATCTGTAATAACATTCATCATCACATCACAGTTACACACGTAAAGGTACAATAAAATAATAAGGAATTATCATACATTGACATCCTCTTCCCCCAAAAACATTGAAAAACAGAAAAGAAACAATAGAAAGGAAAATAAAGGGGGGGAAAGAATTGTATCAATGTATCTCCTCTGTATGGGGTGCACATCTTCCTTGTAAAAAGATTTGTTATAATCAACGGTCTTTACGTAGAAGTTGAATGTATGTGAAACCCTACCTAATTGTAAATATCTGACATGAACTTATAAAAGTTGTTTCCCTTTAAACAGCCAGTAGCTGTCCTAAAGAGTTATAACCGAGCAAATATGTAGCTTAGCTTAGGCAACGAAAACATCGGTAAAAAGTGAATAGATTATAGATTTACATGTATCTTCTAATCATGAATGTTATCTGTTCTAACTTTTATTTCAAAATAAGGACTAAATATATATAAGAAGCTAGATTCCATTCTTAAAACTCATTAGGCTTTGATGGAAGATGTGTGGAATCGTATGCAGGTGTAATTTGAAACTGACTTAAAATACCACTAGTTAACAAAAACCTGACTTTACCAGAAATGGAAACTTATGAAACTCAATCGTTTGATTTATCTATTTATTGTAATAGTTGTTTAGTTTAACTTTGCTGCGGTTTATAATTTTCCAAAACTGTTCAAAACGCACGTGAATAGCACTTTTCAATGCATTTTAGAATTGGATACAGTACAACCAAACACTGAATTGAACTGTATCATACAGCCATTTCGTCCTCTTAGAACTCTAAAGTGATGTTAAAGGCCTAAACTCTGAAACATTGGGGGCGATGTAGGTGTTCTGAAAGATCAATGGGTGTTCATTAGATAAATTAAAATTTCATACTCAAAGCTAACAATGTTCACAATGTTGAGCAGTAGATATAAGTACAAAAACCTTATCCTTTATAATTCTATATTGGTGAGTTTTAGTTTCTGTCACCTGTTTAACCTCAACTTGTGGAAGAAATAAGAAACATGCTATTTGCAGCATAAGTACGGCTGGTTGTGGTACTCGTGGTACGTCTACTTTAATTCGACTCATATTACCGCTCGACTAACAGAAATTCTCACCAGTCGATGCTAGTAAGGTAACTTACGCAGCTTCACAACTACACGTACCACCTTCACAAAGTCTTCGACCACGAACAAAACACAGGTTCTTCAGCTCCAAGGAAGCCTATCAATCTTCTTTAGCTTCTTCCCTTTGAGTAGTCAACAACACAAAATCTGTAGTTAGATGGAGTTATAAAAAACACCCTGCCACCGCTTGGTTTCGAACTTTCGACCCTTTAATCTCTTTCCGGACATTCTATCTCTCGACTAAAGAGAAATTCCCACTAGCCGATGTTAGTAAGGTGACTTGTACTCTCAATTTCTACATCTACACTACTGCATGGTCGCCTTTACAAAGTCTTCGACCCCGAAAGACAACAACCAAGGTCCGATATCATCATCGCCATTTATCAATATTTGTACCCATAGTCTGGGTTGATAGTCTAGTGCAAAACTCATTGGGTTTCCATATCTTCTAGTAATTCTACTTGTAAATATTATTACTGACATGATTACAGAATTTACAATACCAATATCGCATGTCTGTCTTATTGGACAAGATAAATAAAGGCGACCTGATACACAGAGACATGCCTTAATGGTACATCTTTATAAAGTGATTCAAAATGCAATTATGCGCTTTTGTCTTTATGGACAATGCGAACGTTTGTCTTTGAATTTAAATGGGTTATGCCTGTTATTCAGTCTAATTGAATGTGTAATCTAGACAATGACATCCGATAAAAATGACACTGGAAAACAACAAATACCAATATGTCAACAGAATCTTAATCGAATGCAGAGAAACCAGGGGTAAATGAGAACAAAATAACTACACTGGTATCCTAAAAATGACCAAGAAAAGAAGACCAGATGTTCATGAACGGTAAGCGTCTTTTGCTTCATGTAAATAATGCTCGGAACTTCAAGGATACTATCGAACATTAACAACGTTTAACTTTCCGACACAGTCTCCCACAAACACACGCTCTCACCTCGCATACAATGGAAGGCTTTCATTGACCATATTTGTTGATAGGGCGTTAAAGAATGTAGAAGATAACTCGGTCTGCTCGCGATC